TGTGTGTACATGTGTTTGCTAGGTTTGGTGTGTGTGTGTATGAGTTTTAGCTGGTGGTTGGAATTTTTTTTCTTATGCCCATTGAAGGGTGTGTGTTTGTGTGTGGGTGGGTGGGTGTGTGTCTGTGGGTTTTGTGTGGGGTGGTTTGTGTGTGTGTGTGTGTCTGTATTCTTTATAATTTTTCCTTTTCTTTTTCTTTTTCTTTTTTTTTTTTTTCTCGGTTATAGCAGATCTGCATTTCTGCTTTTTTAGGTTTTTTTTTTTCTGCTTTTGTAGTTGCTGCTGTTTTTTTTTGTGTTTGCGTGGTTTTTTAGCTGTAGTTCTTTTTGTCCTTTGCCTTCGAGTGTCTGTGTGTGTGGGTGCATGTGTGTCTTTTGTGTGCCTCTCTCTCTCCTTCTGTTTGTGTCTGTGCGTGTCGTTTTTGTGTGTGTGTTTTTTTTTTTTACCTTTTTATTTTCCTTTTTTTTTCTTTTGGCATTAGTTGTATTTTTTAGATTTAAGTTATGTTTATCTCTCTCTATGTATGTCTCTCTGTCTTTCTCTGTATGATAGCTGCTGACGCCTACTGCTACTACGTATTAAGTTTTTTTGGCCCTGCTATTTGTCTTTAGCTGACGCCTACTGCTACTACGTATGAATGCAGTGGAGTATCATACATTAGTTTTCACAAGTTCAGCCCAACACAACAGTGAAGTTACATAGGTACTTTCTTAGAAATGAAATTTAAATCTGTGCACTATTAATACCTAAGTGGTGTTCATTTGTGATTTTCATACCACTTTATATGATATACAATTACCACAGGGGATGTCATTGTATCCAATGAAATATGTTTTAATCTTACGGATTTCTAATTTATTTTTGGTGTAAATTAGTCCATATAGGATTTACTGTAATTAAGTACATATAATGAATTTGTCTAGTGAATGGAAATATCTTCATCAGAAATTTGTTACTTGAATCATCAACTGATGAATAATTTGTCAGGTTCCACTTCCACATGTTCTTACTATAAAAGGCAAACTTATTTTTGGCAACAAATTTTATTTTTTATTATAAAAAACTTGTTGTCCAGTGAATTGTTAGTTAAATTTCTCCCTACACAAGATTTATGCCTAGCTGAGTGTCAGTGCATTTTGTTTGTGCTAAAACCAGTATAAATTGCAAGGCTGTAATAAAAAAGAAATATATGATATAATCTGTTTCTAATGAGCTTCTTTGAAGACTATGAATATGCTGTAGTATGAAAGATTTCTGAATACATGCAATTTTTAGGGAGCCTCATGAATCATGTTCTTTGCATGCTTTTCTGTGATTGTTTTCAGATTTGGATTCTTTTAATTTGCAATGGCAACAAAAAAGGTACTAGTGAGATGAGTAACTGATTTGTTGGTATAATGCCAGGAAGCTTGATCCCTTTGAATTGTGAACCTTTGACTGCAGATATATATGGATGCTTACCGAAAACGCCTAGGATGTCTGACTGTGTTTGACTGTATTTTCATCTACGTAGTAGTCTATCTGGTTGCTTCAGTTCTCTACTGAAGTTCAAATTTGATTGTCTTTGAACAACTCTTTTTCTGGTTCAGTTATGCTTGCATGTCGATAGCAACACAAAGATCAAGCACATATATTCAGCAAGATTTCAGTTTGTTTCTGTGTCGTCAAGTATCTGTCTCCGTATCTCAACAGTTCTCGGAAATGAAAGAACTTGACAGTACTTTGCTCTGCAAATGTTGAAGTTTGTAAAATGCCTTCAAATTCTTATTAAATTTTTAGTCAGGTGGATTATAAGTTTGACTGTTGTTGTCTCTTTCTATTGCCTAAGTTAATATTTATATTAAATTGGTTGATAATTTTAATGATAGATTGTATATATTATTGTGAATTAGATTTGTAATGGTAGTTTATATAATACTCTTGTGCTTGTGGTCAGATTTGAATTATATATGTTCTGATTAGATTTGAATTATATATATATATATATATATATATATATGTTCTGGTTGAATTTGAATTGTAAATGTACTGTAGAGGCGGTTCAGTCTAGAACCGCCCCTACAAATATGTATTATAGGAGCGGCTGATACTACAGCCGTCTCTACAAATCGATTTATAAGGACGGTCTGTGAACCGCCCCTACAAATGTATGATTTGTAAAAACAGTATGGTAGGGATGGCTGACCGAGCTGCCTCTACAAAGCCTCACCAGCCATCTCTATAAATCATTCCTGTAGTAGTGTGTCAGTGATGGCTTCGTGAATCTCAAGATCCAGTGGTTCAATCTCGGTCTCTCAAAAATACTCATATGGATAGCGAAATACACATAGGAGTAGAGTATGTGCATACTGTCCTTAGGAGTGAGTGGCGTCTCTACCTTGATTCACCAAAAAAAAAAACACAGAACGGATCCCTTCCTCTTGTTTTTTTTTTCAACTGGCCAATGGTTTTGTAATATTTTGTTAAATATCTACCACAGCAATGAGTAATTAGCTTCTTATGAAAAACGTGGAGCATCACGGTCACCAAAAATGCTGTTAGTAATTTGTTAAACCTACCAGTAAAGATATGTACGGAATGTAAGTAAAAACTGTAAATAATTCCAAATGCTGCGTAGTCTACGTGGTGATGAAGCAGAGCTGAAAGAGAAAGGAACATGTGGGGTTGACAAACGCCAACATCAACCACACACTGTCACACACGTGATGGAAGCTGAGGATCGAAATCCTCATTATTGATGCTGTCTGGGCCCTGGGAGCAGCAGATGGAGCAATGATTCAGGAATAATGTCCAACACCGTACCACACATATGGGAGGCTGCGACTGAGATGCATGCAGCTGAAATAAGCTAAGCAAACAGGTCGATGCCCCAGAATTTGGCAGGCTGGTTAGTCCGGTAGTTCCTGTCGATGGCCTTCATCTTCTCCATGTCCTCGCCAGAGATGTCAAAATCGAAGACCTCAAAGTTCTCCTGCAGCCTCTCCACCTTGGAGGTCTTGGGGATCACCACCGTGTTCCGCTGCAGACCCCAGCGGAGGACAAGCTGCGCTGGCGTCTTGCCGTACTTCTCAGCCAAGCTCTGCAAATTGTATTGTTTTTTTTAGCATAGCAAATTGTATTGTAGCCACAATGCCAAGTTAGCAGATCACATTGGCGCCAGAACTGATGACATTGCAAGGTACCCAAACAAAATGCACTCCTATTTGTTAAACAAGGATGATGATTGATAGTCTAGAGCTGTAATGGAGATTTGAAATGACAACCACCTTGATGACAGGGTCGTCGAGGCATGAGACAGACCCAAACCACTCGGTGTTGGCAGTGGAGCCACCCAATGGGGTATCTGGCGGTGACGCAGATCCCATGTTTCTGGCAGAACTTGACAAGAGAATCACGCTGGAAGTAGGGGTGCGCCTCGATTTGGTTCACTGCAGGCTTTATCTTGGCGTAGGCCAAGCAATCTCTAGTGAGGAAGATGTCGTAGTTGCTGCACCAGTAACTCTAATTGTTAGTATTGTAAAAAAGTTGACTTCCTCCAGCATGAAAAAAGTAGAGTGAAAATCTCAAAGCATGTAAAAAATGGCAACAAGAAAATTCTAGTGTAAGATTTATTATATTCAATTCAGGCTATTTTGAAACTAAACTACTCTTTCAAGACCAGCAATATTCCTAGTACAAAAGGACTGACAAAGACTACTCAATGTCTGCAACCGACACCCATTTTTACAGATCCCCTTGAAGACAGACATACAAGATCCAAGTATCCAACACCCTAACAGAGTTTCCATTTCCCCCAAAGAAAGAACTGGGGATCAATGAAAGAACATAAGAAAATGTTAATAGAAACTAAAATCTTTTATGCAGGCGACAACCTAAACTTTAGCTTAACATGATTAATACGTTCATGATTCTGATTAAGCATGGACCAAGGAAAATTACAAGACAAGTAAGCATGCACTTTTCACTAGAAAAGGAATGAAGAAAAAGTGGAGGGTGACAAGAGTAAGTAATGAATTTGCACGCAACCATATGCAATGAAACTGAAGAGATCTGGAAGAACAAAACCATTCTACACTTTGTGCTGGAAAACTTAAGGGAACATATGAACTAAATGCTCCTGTATGTGCAAAACTACGATTACAGTAAGGTCATATTTATCTACTACTTTGTCAAAGTAATGAATCATAATACAAAGGGAAGCTTGCCAAGACTTAAAAATCTCAAATGTCAAACTGGTGCCAACAAAAACAAAGAAAAATGTTGGTTTGGTTTACCTGATTCCAATGCTGCGCACCAGTCCCATGGAAACAAGTTCTTCCATTGCATGCCATGTTGTTTCCAATGAGATAGTGGTATCAATGTCTAGCACGCCATCATCACCGAGGGCGCTAGAAGTTGTGCCAACTCCTGCAGCAATACACATTTCTGTGAGGTACCCACTGAATCTTTCTAAATATTATGCAAAGGGCAAGGAAATTACCTGTATGCCTAGTAGCTACTGGGAAGTGGATAAGATAGAGATCGAGATAATCTAGCTGCAGCTTCTTCAAGCTATCCTTGCAGGCTTCAAGCACATGGCCATGATCTGAGTTCCACAGCTGCAATGAGAACAGATGCCAAATTTTCAATCACATGAAGATTATGGAACAGACTGGACCCCAAAAAAAAACCTGCAGTAGAATGGAAACTCAGAAACATAGCTAATTAAAGACCAAGTGACATCCTGGTTGAGTCAAAATCAGGCGTTCCAGTTTACGACGAGAACACCACATGCTGGCCATAACACCATAACAATTCCAAATATGCTAAAATCCAGGGTAACAATTGGAATTAAGTATGACTGACTCATTTTCAGTAGCTACTGAATGCTAAATATGGTTGGGAAACCAACCGCTGCAATCCTTTCAACCAATTCATGGGGCATAATTTTAATGGTCACATCCATTTAGAAAGGGCAGTTTTCCAGAATACAGAAGGTAGCATTCTGTAATTCAGATAACCTTGGTTGTGATGAACAGATCCTCCCTCTTGACAAGTCCAGTCTGAAACGCCTCTGCCAGTGCATCACCGACTTCAGCTTCATTTTGGTAGTCAGCTGCAGAAAAAGTTACCAAACACACAGACAGTAAATCACCAAGTAGAAAAAGGAAAACTCCTGTGCCGACACTAGTAGTTGGGACCATGTTAGAATACTCCACGATTGACAAAGAAATCTTAGTCATGGACAGCACAGTGCGGTGTCTAACCATGCCTGCATCATTCGTACTATGAATCAAGTGTTTATCAAGACAAACGGAACAGCGATTGACTAATGACACACAGACACTCATGTGGCAGTGGCACTGAAAGAAACATTCAATAATTTTTTTTGAGGGAAGAAACATTCAATAATTTGATTGTAACATTCAGACAAGCACACAAACCTAGTGTTTGTCTAGACTAAGGAAGATTGATGGACACACAAGCACTCACGAGGCATCGAAAGAAGCATCCATCAATTTGATCGGTACAGTACAACAGACCAAGAGTGGCAAAGAAACCATGCTCATCTAATCAGCAACACAGCACACCGTGTAACCGCGCCTGAACCATCGTCCATCGATAATGTCAGTCAGTCTCTCAGACAACTATGTACAGATCTGCTGAGTATTTGTACCTAGTTGTCTGACAACGCCCCCCCCCCCCCCCAAAAAAAACCCGAATAGCGCTCGACACACAAACAGTCAGTGGTTTGGATCGGTACAGTACAACAGACGAACGTCGCCAAAGAAATCCCGCTCATCGATCTCATCAGCATTAGCAACGATAGGGCACTGTTAAGCAAGCCTGCATCATTGGCAGCCCGAGACAAGGATTTGCCACTTGCCAGGACAAGAGCGCCCAAGTGAAGTGACTGAAAGACGCGAACTGCTACGGCGTCGAGCGAAACACGGGCGGCCTCGACAAAACTATTCATCCGATTCGTACGCTGAGGCCAGCACGGACAGGGCCGGCGATTCGCGGTGGGTGGGCGGTCGGGTTCCGGGGGGATTTCGCTTACCGGCGCAGTCCAAGTGGCGGTAGCCGACGCGGAGCGCGGCGTGGATGAGGCCGCGGACGTCCGGCTTGTCCATCCGCCACACGCCCAGCCCCACCGCCGGCATCCGGTGCCCGCTGCTCAGCGCCACCGCCGCGTCCTTCGCCGCAGCCATGGCGCCCTCCTCTCAGGCCCTTACCTCCCCCGTGCGCGGATGCTGCTGGATTGGCCGGCCGCTTCGCCTCGCTCGTCGGCAGTGGCAGTGGGACTCTAAGTGTTTTCTTCTTTTGGTTTTTTGTGTGTGGTTTTTATTCGTTGTTGACTTTTTAATACTTGGATATTCCCGCTTGACGTGGCGTATTCTGAACCATTTACAGTGGGCCGGCCCAGGCCAGCAGGAGGCTGTGCAGCCTGCGAGATCAATTAGTTTAATTGGGCCGGCGGAAGGATGTTCCGTGAATAACAATATCTCCATTCGGTTTTTAACACTTGAAGGGTGTCGTGTAGTGCCTACTGCCTATGAATCTATGATAGGAGTTGGAAGGGACAGAGAATTAGACTTCTTCAAAATTAAGGCCCTGTTTAAGATTTTTTTTTTCAAAATAGCTCTAGCTTCTAGAGAATATTTTGTATTGTAGCAAAGAAATTGTTTTTCTCTATCTTTTTCATAAATGAACTAGAAGCCGATGAAGCCAGAAAACACCGCCTCTAGAGGAGCCAAAGCTGAAAAAACCCCTACAACACACACCTAAGAGTGTAAAGTGGAGTCTGTCTTGAGAGCCTATTTAATTTGAAGCTATTCCACTCTTTTTACCTTATTAACGCCTCCTAAACGTCCTAGTATCACCAATTTTTGTAGTATAGACAGCTCCATGGATCTAGAGGTTTCTCTAGTTCATTTTGGTGGAGGATGTAAGCGGTGCTCCATAAACTAGTGTACCTGCTCCATCATAGAGATTTCAAATTCGAAGTAGAAAATAGAGTGAAATTATCCGAACAGACCCACATTTCAAATATAATGTTTAACTAAAAAAACTGGCCGAGTATATAATCACCTCGAGTAAGAATGTACAGTTGGACATCTCAAGTGAACCAATATTCGGACATTTCAAACAAAACACGATGCATTTTTATTTTGAGCTGTCGAACTAGCTTCCGCAATTTTATATCTTGTGTACGCCACAACACTATTTCGCCTTCCCTAAAGTGCTACAAGTCTATCCTCCTCGACTACATAACGGTGGACGGTTGTGTGCAAAGCTCTTACAGAGGCTGAAATACAATTTTTTAAAAAAAAAAAATAGTCCTAAATTTAGGATAGCTCTGAACTTTTCCGAACCAAACACACGATGCTATGGTAGTGGGACAAGAGGTGGACAACACAAAAGGAAACGGAAGGGAAAAACCCGAAGGAAACCGATCACCACCGTGAATTTCTTTGGGCTGCATGTAATGGGGCCTCGCAACATTTCCTCAAGGAAAAAAAAGAGAGTTTGTGGGCTGCACTTGAATTGGTGTTTCCCCTGCGCTGGGTTGCGGGCTTGGTTAGCTGGCCCCCGGTGCTCGCCGCTCCCGTGATCTCGGCTCGCTCACGAGTTCCCAGTTCCATGGCTGCCTGCTCCAGCTCCATCACCTGGATGGCCGCCTCGGATCCCGCGCCCGCCCGCCCGTGAGTTGGGCCCGGAAGCAATGCAAGCCGCCGTCGGAACGGAACGGCGTCTAGCTAATTAATCTCACAAGCAAAGCTAATAATAAGAGAGCCAGAAATAAATAAATACATTAATTAAGCCGCATATTCTCCGCCCGTCCGGGCGATTCTTTTGTTTGCTTGTTGCTGGAGGCCGTCCGGCAATCCCGTGCCTGGCCGCCGGACGCGGGCGAGGCTGGATTCGCGCCGGCGGCCGGCCGGTAATAACTGCGTGCGCCGGATTACCGGAATTACCTGCCTCTCACTCGGACCCGAGACGTCGGTCGTATGCGTGCGATGCGATTTTGGTCAGTTGTACTAACTTGTGTCCATCCATCTGCACTCCATAGTCCATTCTTCGACGGTAAATGTATAATATAATACATAATATACCACAGGAATACTTTTCACGGTAAATGTAGTGACATTCATTTGCCATTACTATTGATACTTTTTTTTTATAAACACGTTCAATTCCAAAATACTCCATAGCCCCTCTAGGGCTAATTTGGAAACTCAAATTCCCTTGGGATTCTGACTTTTTTTCAGGGTGGAAAATTTATGGAAAAATAATTTGAATAATTATTTAGTTCTTCACGGAGGGTTTTCCATCCCCGGGTATGCCTTCCCCTTGCTTCCAAATTAGCCCCTAGTGACAACCATGCGCCAAAATGAAAACAATTTTATGACCAAATTTATATCATAAACGCACTCCCATTGTAAAAATCTTTGCACCCATAGGGAGAACGCACCCCCTTCAAATTTGCTCTAACTCCGCCCCCTGAAGGTTTCTCTAAGAAAACCTCATTAGCTTGAAAGGGCAAATTTATCGCTGCTGGCTTAGTTGCTTGGAATGGTAAAGATGAAAGAATTAAGTAATAAGTCTAACTGGATTTTAACAAACACTGATGTTGGACTTCTCTTGAAGAAACCTCTAGTCTTGACACTACTTGAATCAACAAGTTTCCCAACGGTTTAGTTGCTCTTAATGCAAATCATACTCCCTCTATTCTAATTTTTTTTGTTGATACATATTTTTTTACTATGTATCTAGATATAACATATTTATAGATGCATAACAAAAGATATATACCTAAAAAGCAAAACGACTTACATTGGGAACAAAAGTAGCATACTCCATTTGCCTCAAAAAGTAGCATACTCCACCAAAAGAAAAATAAGACAATACATCTAAAAAGATAGTAACAAACTGCTATATATGTAGAGTTTATGTAAAATTAAGGACCCTTAAGCCTTAGCTTAGAATGGCAAACTCATAGCTAGCTTACTTCCTCAAAATGCTAATGATACACAAAAGAATAGTCACATCGTAACAAACTCATTGCAGGGTTTCTCCCTTGTTAGCTTCGAATGGCAAATTCATTCTTGCTTAGTTGCTTGAAATGCTAAAGATATAGGAGTACTCCAAGATGAAATAAGCAATAGTACGTCTAACTAGACCTTAACAAACAGAGATGTAGGGGTTCTCTAAAAGAAGCCTCTTGCTAGCTTTGAATGAGAAATTCATCACCGGCTTATTAGTTGCTCTAACTAAATGCAGATGCTATATGTAATCCACGCACCAAAACAAATAAGGCAATACGTCTAAACATATCGTAACAAACATGCAAAAGGACCCTTAGTGTTTGAATAACAAACTAGATTTTAACAAACAGAGATGTAGGGGTTCTCTTAAAGAAACCTCTCGATAACTTTGAACGAGAAACTCACCATGAGCTTATTAGTTGCTCTAACTAAATCCAGATGCTATACGTACTCCACCTAAACAAATAAGGCAATACGTGTAAACAGATCGTAACAAACTTATATATGTGTAGGATTCTCTCTAAAAAAGACCCTTAGCTTTGAATAACAAACTCATCGCTTGCATTGCATAGTTTTTCGGAATGCTAAAGGTGTGCACCATGACGAATTAGACAATACGTCTAACGTGAGCCAACAAACTGCTGCTTGCTTCTAGCTACAAGCCAGCCTCTTGTGAGCTCTCGAAACTCGTTTCAGGTTCACGAGTGTCGTTGTAGCAGCCAGTTCGTCGTCGTGGTCCATGCATGCATGCATGGCTAGTGGCTACAAGCCCGCCCGAGGTCCCGGACTGCCTGCCTCCGCCGCAAGTCGCCGCCGGACGGCGGTCGGCCCGTGACCCGGCCGCAGTTACAGGCAGCAGTTTGACCACTCGGCATGCACATGCACGCCAAAACGCTGCATGTCATGCACTGCACTCAACTGCCCCGCAACAGACGCCACCTTTTCAGTTGCTTCCAACGAACAACTACCATACCTGTCGTCTGCTTGCGTGTCACACTATCGCTCCACTAGCCTATATATATTCCACCTGATTAACACCCTGACAGCATGCACTCGCTCCTAGCTGCAAATACGTGCATATCGAGCTAGCTAGCCAATGGCGCCGCCCATGAGGAGGAGCTCTTCCAAGGCCACGGTGGTGTCCCGCCTCGCCCTCGCCGCCGCCGTCCTCTTGCTCACAGCGTGCGGCGGCAACGGTGCAGCGGCGTTCAACTACGCGGACGCGCTGGACAAGGCGCTGCTCTTCTTCCAGGCGCAGCGGTCGGGCAAGCTCCCGGCGGGGCAGCAGCGCGTGACGTGGCGCGGCGACTCCGGCCTGTCGGACGGCTCCGCGGCAGGGGTGGACCTGGCCGGCGGCTACTACGACGCCGGGGACAACGTCAAGTTCGGCCTGCCCATGGCCTTCACCGTCACCATGCTCTCCTGGAGCGTCCTCGAGTTCATGCCCGGCGTCAGCGCCAGCGCCGGCAAGGCCGCCGTGCGCTGGGGCGCCGACTACCTGCTCAAGGCGGCCGCGGCGGCTCCCCACGCGCTGTACGTGCAGGTGGCCGACCCGAACCGTGACCACCAGTGCTGGGAGCGGCCCGAGGACATGGACACCCCGCGCGACGTGTACAAGGTCACGCCTGATAAGCCTGGCTCCGACGTCGCCGGCGAGACCGCCGCCGCGCTCGCCGCCGCGTCTCTCGTGTTCCGGACCTGTGACCCCGCTTACTCCGCCAAGCTGCTGCAGACTGCTCAGAAGGTACGTGCTGTGCCTCTGATCCATGCATGATCGAACTCACATGCCTTCCTGCCGGCCTTGCTCTTGGGCGGCGGGTCGGTGTGCCGCCCGTGACGCGACGTGCGTCGTGCTCTGAGGCTCTGACGATCCATCGTCGTCGTGTCGTGGCGTGCGCTTGCAGGTGTTCGATTTCGCGGACCGGTTCAGGGGCTCGTACAGCGACTCGCTCAGCTCCGTGGCCTGCCCGTTCTACTGCTCCTACTCTGGCTATCATGTAAGCACATGCGCCCTGCATTTTCTCTCAGCCTTTTCTGAACTTTTGGGAGCCAATGGCGTAGCAGCTTCAAGTTCAGTTTTAACAGGCCTAATCCACAACAACCAACAATGCATACATGCAGGACGAGCTGCTGTGGGCGGCGGCGTGGCTGCACATGGCGACGGCGGCGACGTCGCAGGCCGGCAACTCATCGGACGTGTACCTGTCGTACATCTACTCCAACGGGCACAACCTGGGCGCGGAGCAGGACGACTTCACCTTCAGCTGGGACGACAAGCGCGTGGGCACCAAGGTCCTCCTCTCCAAGGCCTTCCTGCAGGGCATCGGCAAGGGCAAGTCCGACGACGCGCTGCGGCTCTACAAGGCGCACGCCGACACCTACGTGTGCTCGCTCGTGCCGGGCGCCGCCGGCTTCCAGCAGTCGCAGTTCACGCCTGGGGGACTCCTGTTCCAGGAAGGCGACAGCAACATGCAGTACGTCACATCCACGGCGTTCCTCCTCCTCGCGTACGCCAACTCCCTCGCGTCCGCCGGCGGCGGAGTGCAGGTCTCGTGCGGCGGCGGCGTGGTGCCGGCGTCCGCGCTGGTGGCCGTCGCCAAGCGGCAGGTGGACTACATCCTGGGCGCCAACCCGGCGCGGATGTCCTACATGGTCGGGTTCGGTGCGCGGTACCCGCGGCACGTGCACCACCGCGGCGCGTCCATGCCGTCGGTGCGTGATCACCCCAAGCGCATCGCCTGCGACGAGGGGTTCCGGTACCTGCACTCGGCGGATCCCGACGCCAACGTGCTGGTCGGCGCCGTCGTCGGCGGGCCTGACGGCAGCGACGCCTTCACCGACAGCCGCGACAACTTCGCACAGACTGAGCCTTCCACCTACACCAACGCGCCGCTCGTCGGCGCGCTCGCCTTCTTCGCCGCCGGCCGCCACCGCTGAAGCTAATTAAAGCTATCTTGGGGCTATCACGTGAGAATGAGATCGATTTATATGATTATTAGCGCCTGCTGCTGCACTGCACATGAGCATGCAGGTTTGGTATTGTGTACCTGGTGTGTCGTGTTTGTGTGAAGCGTGTAGTGTACATGCATCGGCCTCAAAGAGTAAAGGTGCGTGTACTACCTTACTATATGCGGAAATCGTGAGCTTTTTTTAAAAATTAAAAACTATAAAAAATATTTTAAAAACCACATGAATCTAAATAGTCCTTTTGGTCACGCCCTGTGCACTGGCATGACTAAAGTTATCACGTTAAGCTTTGTTTGGCTGCACACAAGTACACCACAGTCCATATGGTTTGGGAGGGATTGAGATGGATTGGGGTGGATTTATGTGCAGACAAACAAGCCCTTAACGACCTTGGTCACGCTTGAGCCTACCCAACCTCTCTCCCTTCTCCTCCTCTCTCTTCTCTTCCTCCAACCCAAAATTGAGGACAAAGTCAGCAATGGTGGTCCTCTTCTTAGCCATTCAGATCCATTGCTTATTAGCTAGCAAATCCACGATGTATTTGTTGCAAGCGTTGTTGCAACGTAAGTTATCCATTCCCCAAAACCATTCCTCTTAAATTTCATGGCAATCATGAGCTGTGATGTTGTGGCTTGAGGAGGCGACATAGAAGTAGAAGACCCGTTGTGCTCGGAGTAAACATGCGATACTCGATGATAGACGTCATTGGAGTTGGGTAGATCTCGCACAATTGGCTGATTAGACCATGTATGCTTGAGGCGACGTGAAGATAGAAGAAGACGGTGGAGGCATCCTAATAATCTGTGGTGGCAATGATGACATCACGTGCCTACCCTAACGCGCATGGTCGAAGAGGTCGATCTTTGGTGTGTAGTTGACGCCAAGATGGAGTAGTGCGTGAGGTTGGCAGACAATGGACGACTCAACCCTGATCTATGATCGGGTAAACCAAAAGGGATACAACTAGCAATAGATACAAAGCTTAGGTACTTCGGAGGAGGATGGGGCGAGAGCCGCCCTAAGCCAAGGCGAGATCTAGCTACCGGCCTAGAGAGGTGATAGTGGAGGGGCCGAGGATGGTTGGGCGGCGAAAGGGCGGGTGGTGGCCCGGCCAGAGGCGTCCTCTAGCGGCACGCATGGCCCCACAGCGGGCTCCTGGCGTAGAGATCTCGATGGCCTAGCAAGGAGTTGCGGGATAGAGACAACATGGGTCGGTGGTGAGCTCCTGGTGCAAAGCAACAAGAGGGAGTGACAAGGTGGGGCCGAATCCACCCTCCGAGATGCCCGGCGATGGCGGGTGGGTCGCTGTGGACGATGTCAATTTCTACCAGGGCAAGGGTGGTGAAGGTCTCGGTTGACGGTGGTGGAGGAGAGTGACGACTTGGAGGACGGGTCAAGGCACATGGTTGGGATGGGTGACTACGATCCTGGTCAACGGATCTGGCCACTCCAGGGAATGACTAGGACGATACAAGGAGGCAGACTATCAATTGCCGCAACCAGACTAGAACGATGACGAGAGCGACAGATCAATATGATGAGCCACCAAAACAAGCTGGCTCTGGCCCCACTGGAGATCGATCTCCTAGGCGGCGCGTAGTGCGGAAGAGATGTCTTATGCTCTAAATTGGAACTTAAACTCACGATACCATGTAGCAGGATTAGAATCGAGTGAAATTGGATTATTTACACTGAACCTCTTGGACGATATACATAAACTTTTGCATGACTTGCAGTGTCAAGCCAATACATGGGAGCATAATCCCAACTAAATCTATCCTAGTCGTGGTATATATACTCCAACAAATGGGTGTACGTTCTTTTCTGTGAGCAAAGGATAGTAACACTAGCTATGAACCACTTTGAAGTTATGAGGAACACACACGTTAAATTATAAATTTCATAAAATAATTTTGCAATCCTCACTAATATAAAAAAGGTTTCTACTGTCGGTACTTTATAGATTTTTACGAACTGTCTATGTGGAGGGCCAGTGGAAATCAGCGAGATCCATTATTGAGATCACTTAAAAAGTAATTTTAAAGTTGTAGATATCTTGAGAGGTAATTTTCATCTATCATTAGTACTAGTAGTGATTTGGATATCCGAATGGCTTGGGATGAAAAAAAAAAGAATTAAAAAATAGTATATCTTGTAAAGCTAGAGTTGTCATAGGAGAATTTTATCTTCATCCAAATTCATGTTCCTACGACGGTGTAATAAAACTACTGTATGCCGGATATTGTTCGTTTGTCTCTTAAAAAGGAAGACGTACGAGTCATAAAAACTTTCTGAGCTAAAATACCAAAGTTTAGGTTCTGGCTGCCAACAGGCACAAACTTTTCTTGCCGTACATAAGGTTCTGGCTTTATTAAAGCCTCTACGCGTAATATACACAACGACGACAAGCTACTCGTTCGGTTGCTCCAAGACAGTACTCGCCAAGCATGCCTGACAACACCAAAGACTATCTTCATTCACTTACGTACGTACGTGTCAGATCGAGGATGGATATGCACGGCTCGTACACTGAAATTGCCATATATTAGTGCATACGTCGGATTTCCCATCGATATATGGTCTCCGTTCTACTTATTTCAAACCGTTCTTTTTAGCTAAATAGGTGTAGCACCATAAACTTTATTCTAGAAGAAAATGTGTGGTTGAGAGAGCGACTAAAGATGTGCTCTAAAAACTCTAGTTTTTTTTGAGCTGTTCTATGATGAATTTGTAGAGCAGAGTTAGGGGAGCTATTCCGACCCATATACGAGAGAGATTCACGTTTGTATACGCACAACACACGCACGTCATTTTAATATACCCTAAGGTGCTTGGGGCCTCATAATCAGAGATCAAGACGGAAGAATGGTTCTAGCTGGGGCTGGCAACGACGTCGTCAGTCCAGTGCTTAATGCACTAATGGCTGAAACAATGGCGTGTGTGAAGTTGGTGGAGGCGGCCGAAGTGTAAGGGTATTTCACGGATCCAGATAGAGACGGATTCCAGCCAACTGCAGTACTGAGCGAGACTCGGAGCCAAGCGGGATGCTTTTCATGTACATCCACAATTTCCTGCGTGACCGGTTTAGTAGTCACAAAATTTCTAATGTTCCACGATCTTGTAACTCTCGTCTGCGCACACAAGATTATTGCGAAGCTAGGCTTAATTTAGGATACGGGTTAATCAATGCTATGGCCTATGATCCTCCCGAGATATTTGTAAAGAACGTGGTTGCTCGCGAATGCGCTGAGCTATCGATGAGTAATACAAGGCCCTAGAGCCAAGCTCGAGATAAAATAAAATAAAAAGAGGCGCAGAAGCAGTAGCTCTGATCCACTTGTCACTGCTTTTCGGCCGGCCATCATCATCCTAGCAAAGCATAGACGACATGTACACGTCACCATGCACGTGTACTATGCACACGAAAGACAGGAAAAATGCGTAAGATCGAGCAAGACAAGGTCGATGCCGTGGGTGAAACCGATGCCGGCCCCATCATATTTCGCCATTGCTATCTAGCTAGCTAACCCTATAAATAATGCCCAGATCTCGATTTGACTTAGTAGCAGCTTCACTTCGCTTCACCCACTGCATGGGCGCCGGCGGACCGAAAAGAATATGGGCAGGTTGAGCTTGACGGCGGCAGCGGTGGCCAGCGCCGATGACGGTGGCGTCGGCAAGCTGAAGTCGTCGTGGCCGGAGATGGTCGGTAAAGAAATGGTGGAGGCGGTAGCCATCATCATGTCGCAGAGGCAGGATGTCATCTTCAAGTTCCTCCAAGCCGACGACCCCAGCCGCCGGACTTCGACGACCACCGCGTCTGCCTCTTCCTCGACGAAAACCTGATCGTCGTCAGGACGCCCGTCGTGGGCTAGCTAGGCCGACGTACGTGTACACGTCGCCGTTCCTTCACGGGCCGGTCATAGGATGCATGCATGCATGACCGTACCGGCCGTACGTGTGAGTTTGTGACCGTACGTGCGTAGCGTGTGGAAAATAATTATGCTCTGTCTACCAGGCCCACCGGCGTGATTCGGTGGCCGTATACACAGATTTCCTTGCCATTTTGTGTGCTTATTACTCTAGCTTGCCACCGTATACCAGAAAATGGAGATTTCGTGAGGATGACAGTTTTCATGAGAGTGGAAAACACACTCTCATGAAAATAATCGCTTTAGTTTCTATTACCTCACTTGCACTTGCTTCCATGGGTGAGGAGCTTAGGATGGAAGCAGGTTTGTCTATAAACTCAGTAAATAGACTTAATTTTGTGAGTTATTCACATAACATACAAGAATTAAGCCTGTTTGCAGTGTTTCTTGGAACAAACAAGTTAACCTCACTTACATCCATATGGAACTGCCATTCACCAACAGAACTGTCGCTTCACTCTGTTAACTGCTCATGTCATCTTTAAACTCCTGCATCAAACAACACAAGCTCATAGAATTGAATTAATGTGTGATTTTCACTGGAATCTATATGTGTACTATATTCCATGAAACTATATTGTTTGATATAAGTTTGCTCTCTCGCACCATGCATTTTGAAACGTTGTCTCTGTATAGGAAATGATATATCGGCTGCCAAAATCTAAATAGTTTGGCGAGAAGCGCGTACTCCCTATGTCCTAATTAAAAACAATGCATTTTGACTTCTAAATTTATATTGAAATATAATGTATTTTATGTTGTGTTCATGCACAAATTTAGCAAAGTTTGTATTTGACGACAAACTTCTTAATTAGGTTTAATCCATAGGTATACGTGATATTTGAGTATTCACTTAAGTTGTCTTAATTTTTTTTGGAATGCATTGTATTACATGATGAAGGAAGTACATCACTAATTCACAGACATAGTCATGAGCAAATCCAAGGCAGCAAAGCACTCGCTCTCCGGGGCCGTAATGGAATGGGCTGAGGCCTCTCACAGTAGTATGGGCCTCATGGTCTTCTCGTCTCTGCCCCT